TTGGATCGACTTCTTGCTGAGATCTTGCAGCCATCTGCTTGTGGCTGCCCTGGTGGAAACTCCTCCTCTGGTTCATCAAACAAACCTGGAGAAATGAAACCGTCATCAAATGGCATAACTGCTTCATCTTCTTGCTTGGGTGTGACAGGACTAGGCTCGAGTGGAGGCTGCTACTCTGCTTCGACCTGCTGCTCTGCTTCGACCTGCTGCTGAGGCTGAGGCTGCTGAGCTCGCAGCTGCTGCGCCGTGGACTTGGGGTTACGGCCCAGATGCCCTAGAAACGTCCTCTTCATCAATGGAGTCTCAGGAATTTTATAACGATGCTTGTAAAGAGATTTCTCATCAAACTTGACATCTCTGCTGATAAGAATTGATCTGGTGGCCATGTTGTAAAGACGATGTCTCGAGACAATAGCCAACCATGATGCAAGGAATGCTCTTCGGCTCCAATTTTCTGCAATGACTGTTAGAAACTTTTATCTAAAAACTCGTAGATGTCTCAAGCTGACTTGCTTCCCGGTCCAAAGACGTCTGCAAGAGGCTGGGTAGGCACTCGATTGCGAATATAGTCGGCGCGTTGAAGTCGAAAGCGTGTTCGAAAGGTCTTGCTGATAGCGGGCTTCGGTAGATGTTGGAAGCAAATGTAGGATATATTGGTGTTGTGAAGATCGGTCGGTATGGCGAAAATGGTGCTGGTCTGGTGAAGTCTGTGAAGCTGGGCTGGAAACTTGGTCGTTCGTCGTCACTGTAGATCGGGTTAGTGAATGTACCTTTGAAGTGGTTGTATGCTGCTTGAAAAATGTTTTGTTGCTCGGGCATAGTCTGTGTCGACTGCTCGAATGTTCGGTTGGGCTCGGGCACTTTGGTGGGTGCCGTCGAGGGTGCTGATTCAGGCTCGGGCACTTCGGTGGGTGCTGTCGAGGGTGCTGCCGGTGGTGTGTCCGGTGGTGTTGTGTAGTTGTCGTATTCTTCGCGGATGTCCGATACTGATTCGTCGGAGTTAGCTCGCGGTAATAATTCGTGTCGGATGTAATTCTCTCTCTTGGAGGGTCTAAGAATTTGATTCAACTTCTCTTGGTCTTTCTTTCTCTTTGTTTCTAAATTCTTCAAATCTCTATCTAAATGTCGGATAAGCTGTTGTCGGTCTTCTTCCGACTTGCTGGATGTTCTTCGTGGTTTTGGATACATGCATTCTTCTACTGGTTGTCAGTGTCAGATTTGTGTCTGCAGTCAATCATGCAGTTCGGGCAGAACTTGGGGAAGACTGTCGGTGGGCCAATTGTTGATAAAGTCGTTGTGAGCTTGTTCTTTCTTTTCAGTGCAAATATCGACGGTGGTGTGTGTTGGGTTGGGTTGTGTTCAGCCGAGTTGTGTTGAGTCGAGTGTGCTGGTGCAGTATGCAAACTGGTCTTCCACGTGCTGGTGCCGAGATGGAGTTCAATGAAGAGTTTTGGATATTCGGGTTTGTCTGGAATGATTTCTTCGATAATGTCGTCGAGTTGTTCGAGTCCGGATTGGGCGATGGCGTGATTGGCGAGAGTTGTTGCAGCGAATGTGTTGATTTCGAACCGAGTTCGGACTGTTGTTTCAGTGCTGAGCTGCTGACTTTGTCGGAGGGGTTGTCGAAAAATCGGTGGTGCGTTCTGAAGTTGTCCCTCGACAAGTTGTCCGATACCGGGTAACAGAGTGATGGGTTCGTCGTTGGTGTAGGTTTTGAGGATGTGCTTCGGTATTTGGAGTGGGCGCAGGAATTGGACTTGTGTCGGAACGCTAGGATTGCTGGGTCGACGACTGCACAGAAGATGGGTTCGTTTCGGTAGTGGTGTCGGTTTGTGTCGAGGGCGCTGGTTGATGTCTCGAACTTGGAGTGGGTGGTCTTGTGCTCGGAGATGGAGTTTGCCAATGAAGCTGCTGAGGGCGTTTGCTGATGAAGGTGCTGGTAGATTGGAGTTTCTTGTCAAAGAGAGTCGTTGGTGTTCTTCATCGGTGATTGGACTTGGAGATCTCGAGAGAGAGCTTGCAGATTCTTCAAAGATCTCCTCTGGAAAGTTTCTGTCTTTACTGCGTTGGGCAGCAACCGCTTGGACGCCGTTGATCCATGGTGGCAGTGGCATTTGCGTGTTGAATTTGGGCAAATGTACGAATTAGGGCGTAATTTGGGTGAATTTGGGCGAGATGGGTAGATTTCTGGATCGTTCTTGCTATCTGCGCACAGAGAATGGAGAAAAAATGGAAGAATTTGTGAACCTAAAGGGGAATTCAGAAGCCGTGGTCGCCAAATGAAGAGGTGAGAAAACCCCTCTTCGCTGGAAATCTATTGTTAGTAAGAAAACAAAAGAGACAATGGCCCGATCTCCAAGGGCAGAGAAGAAGCACGAGTAAAAGAATGCTATGTATTGATAAGACAAACGATGGAATGGAGATAGGGATCCACAATTTGGATTCCCCCTTTTGAAATGCTAGCGGTTCTAACTGCTAGCATATACCATATGCTGTGCATGATTTAATCTATGGCTCCGATGCAGCCCTGGGTTCAAAGTCGGAGTCCCCTAAACCTTGTTTTTGGTTGAGACAAAATCTATGCCTGTAAAGAGAGGGATCAGTATTGCTTTAGTTGTGGTCATTTCTTTGACAATTTCCAGCAGGCTCCAACCCTGATCTTGAATGAACTTTTCTACAGCACAGATTTTTCCCTTCCTCTTCTGCTGCTGCAGTCGAGCGGTCATGAGATCTAGAGTCGCGTAGCCTTGCTGCTCGCTGCGTGGTCTTGTTTTGCCTATGAGATCATCATTTGCTCTGATACCTAATACTCTATTTCCCCATGTAAGTATATACAAGTCTTGTGTCCGCTCATTTCAGCGTCCAGATGAATCTCTTGCCACCTTGGATTAGACTCTAGGCTGGCTATCTACAATCTTTTCTTCCTGGAAGGTGGACTTGTCAGCTGGAGCAGCAAGTGATAAGCAATCACGGCACTTTCATCCACTGAGGCCGATGCAACAACAGCAGCTCAGGAAGCGAAGTGGATTAAAGATTTTCTGGAGCAGATTGGTGTTCCAGTGCAGCAGCCAGTGACTTTGTTTTGTGACAATCGAAGTGCACTTGAGTTGTTGAAGAATCTGAAGTTCCATGGCCGCACCAAACACTTCGAGATAAAGGTACATTTTGTTCGAGAGCAGGTTCTAGCCTGTTTTGACAAAGATATGTTTCAACAAAGCAGATGACAGCAGACATTATGACAAAAGCTTTGAGCAAAGACAAGTTTCAACAACATCATGAAGATATACGCATTATAGACTCTCACAGCTGAGTGAGAGTGTGGAGTCTAATCCAAGGTGGAAAGAGATTCATGTGGACGCTGACACAAGACTTCTATATATTTACATGGAGAAAATGATAAAGTGGTAGTTAGGGGAAACAGAGTATGTCGAGAACTAACAGCAGCACCGCCACTAAGATCTGCTGAATTGGGGGCCTTCAGATGCAATGTAGCATCAGCATTGCTCACATCCGTGTCGCTCATGGTGCTGGCAGTGCTCTCGTCGGACATGTTGCTCCGGAATCCTGTCCTTCGGGCCCATGATCCCATCGCCCTGAGCGTCCATCGGTCAGAGTCTTCTACCTAGGGAAAGGGACTCTGGATCACGATGATCTTTGGTGGCGAAGCCCCGCTGAAGAGGCATCTATATATATATATATACTATTTGAGTCAGTGACCATCCGATCATGGCTTATCTACCTAGGGTTTATCACTTGGATCTAACACTTGTTTTGCAAAATGAAATTGTCCTCCCTTGTTTCTCTTCTGATCTCAAAAGGATACACCTCTTCCTCTACGACCACAACCCTGAATATGATTCATTTCCCTTGTATGTTTAAGCCTAGTTTTGGAATGAGCAGTTCTCATGGCCAACAGATTCTGGATTATGCATACGATTCTATGATTGGAGACAAACCAACAATTTTATATCCTGCGAAGTATGAGAAGGGAAAATGGAAGTTGAGATGCGAGGCAAGCAGCAGGGAGAACTTTTCCGACTACCCAAATAGACACCTCAACGAGTTTTTAGATACTCTTCAGAGCTGGAAAAACAGAACAGAGATCAAGTCGCTCCTTACAAACGGCGACCCCTACGACCACCCTTCCTCCTCGTGCTGTCAGTTGGAATCGGAGTCACATCCTCTGGAAGATTGAATCCAACTTAGTACCAGTCCGGTGACAAGACAATTTTGTTCTTTTCACGTACCGATTCGGCCGATCTTCATGCCGGAACGAGCAAGAGCGCGCAGAGCAGACTGTGCGCCGGGTCCGGGCTGTTTTGTTTTGTTACCGCCGGTGGCCCGTAGCTTGATGTGGAGCGCATTGATTCCCAAGTCCTGGAAAATCGAGCTCACCAAGTTAGAACGCAAAACAAAGGAAAAGAAAACATGATTCGAGAAGAAAGCTCTCACTTTGCATTTGGCAGCGACGTCCTGGGCTGCGAGCATGGCAGCGTAGGGAGAGGCTTCGTCCCTGTCGGCTTTCACCTTCATGCCACCTAGAAAAACGAAGGCCATCAATCACTTTGAATCTCGGAAAGGCACTGGTACCTGTGACTCGGGCGAGCGTTTCTTTCCCAGAGAGATCGGTGACGTGCTGGTAGTAACGAAGGAAGAGAGATTTCAGCGATTTCTTGCAAACAGAGATTCCACAAAACCCTCACCACAAAGGTGTCATTGAAGGAGGCAAAGATGTGCGCCACGCCGAAGACTTGCTCGCCATCGCGCACCGACGGTCCCAGGGTCACATTCTCCTCTTTCACCTCCTTGGTCCTCTTCTTGCCCGACTGCCAAGATCACACACCCATTAGCATCATCGCCAAGCTCTCTCGCGCCGATCGCTACTCACCATGGTTGCTGCCGCCCGAGCTCCCCGCCAAACCCTAAACCTAAACCTAGAAGCCCAGCATCTATACCTTACAACCGTCGGATTGATCCGACGGCCCAAATTTAAAAATGAGTTTTTGCCCTAAACGAGCTTGCATTTTTACACGGTTTGAGCTTGATACAAGACCACATAAGCGGAAGAACTCGCGGGATTGACATCGAGAATTTGGCCGGACGCCGCTCTTGCGCGCTCCAAATCGCCATGAACTCTGCAAGATCCAAGCAGCGATGTCCACAGCACAGGATCGCTGCAAGCCGAGTCTTTCAACATCTCCTGCGCGACTTCGACATGCCCCGATCGTCCCAGCATGTCGAGCACGCAAGCGCTGTGCTCAAGTCGCGGGCTCAGCCCATAGTCCCTGCTCATCGACGCAAAGTAGTCGCAGCCCTGCTCCACAAACCCGGCATGGTTGCACGCGAAGAGCAGAGTTACCATTGTCACCTCGTCCGGATCCACGCCCTCCTGTTGCATCTCTTGGAAGTAAGCCACCGCGTCACTCCAGCGCGAGTGCTGCGCGCTCGCGGTGATCATCCCGTTCCAGGAAACGAAATCTCTTGCCTGTGCTCCATGGAACTCGCGAGCAGCGCTGTCCAGTGATCCACATCTCGCGTACATGTTAACGACGGCGTTCCACAGCGCAACCTCCAGCTCGCCTCCGTCGTGCCGGCGATCGAGAAGCACGCGGGAATGGATCATCCTGCCAGCGGCCAAGTCAGAGCAGCAGTTTAGAAGCGAAACAAGCGTCACCTTTGTTGGTTTCACCCCTTCGAGCTGCATCCTTGCGAACAGAAGCAAAGCTTGCTCGTTTCTCGCGCGGCTGTCTAGCTCCCCGGCCAGTGCGATGGCCGCAAGCATTGCACTCCAAGTTACACTGTCGCGCCTTTTCATCCCGTCAAACATCTTCCTCGCGTCCTCTACGCTTCCACACTTGCCATACATGCTCACGACTGCGTTTGCCACCATTGTGTCACTCTCCAGCCCCCGCTCCACAGTGCAAGAGTGGACAAGCTCCCCGGTGGCCAGAAACTCGGGCGTGGAGCACGCCGAGAGAGCTGCAACGAAGGAAACCCTGTTGGGAGCGATGCCTTGCAGCTGCATTTGCCTGTAGAGTCGGATGGCCTGCTTCCATTCCCCTGCCTTGGCATTTGCGGTGATCATCGCCGTCCAGCACACGCAGTTCGTTCGAGCGTTCGTCGCCAGGAGATGGAAGATGGCCTCGGCTTGAGGCAGAGCGGCGCACTTGGCGTACATGTTGATCAGCGAAGTTCCAACCACGACGTCGGTCTCGTAGCCGAGCTCCCTGGCACACGCGTGGACGCATTGGCCGACAGCAAAGGTGGCGGGGAGGTCGGGAGCTAGCGAGCACGAATGCAAAGCCTCCGCAAGCGTGAGCTCGTTCGGAGCCACTCCCTCAAGCAGCATTTGCCTGAAGAGCAGCAAGCACTCGTCAGCGTCCGCTGCCTTGATCATCGAAGTCCAAGAGACAACATCTTTACGTACCATCTCGGAGAAAACTTGGCGTGCGAGAGGAGAGCTACCGCATCTCCCATACGTGACAATGAGAGCATGGCACACGGCAGGATCAGCAGCAAATCCAGCTTCCAGAGCGCAGCTATGGCAGAAACATCCTTGCGTCAAGTTACTGCAAAGACCAAGAACAGTGATAAACACTACCTTGTCCACTCTCAGGCTTCCATCGTTGAGGAAGCTCCAAAAGAGCTCCATTCCCTGTTGCCTCCACACGCTAGCATTGCTGCAAGAAGAAGGAAAGGAAGAAGGAAGTGACTGATCTCCTCCAGGATGATCGCCAGTAGCAGCACTGGCATACGTACCCAGCATGGCGCTCCAAGTGACGATGTTCTTGGTGGCGCTGGGAATGGCGTCAAACACCTCGCGAGCCGCGGCGCTATGGCCGCAAGAGCCATACATGCCCACTAGCGCTGTGGCAACGTAAACGTCGTGGTAGAGGATCTGGCCATGGCGGACTTGGAGGAGGAACCGATGGATCCGAGCCCCGGCTTCCACATCCTTGCACGCCTTGAGGATGGATCCAAACGTGAAGCTATTGGGCGCTACTCCCTCTTGCTGCATTCTTCCCAGTAGCGCCATCGCTTGATCCCATTGCCCGCGCTGCGAGTAGCCCCAGATGAGGCTCGTCCACGACACCACGTCTGGAATGGTGCTGCCGCTGCTCCCCATGGATTCTAGCACGCATCGCGCTTCCTCCACGCTGCCACACTTGGCGTACATGTCGATCAGTGTGTTGGCGACGAGCGGTGACAATCCAGATTCTTGCTGCCTGTTCTTCGCCAGGAGCATCTGGTGGATGGATCTTCCCAGCGCTAAGTCGCGCCTGGCGGAGCACTGGTGGAGCAAGCGCACCGCCGCGGCAGCGCTCAGCGACGCGGTTTCCACCGCCATTCCATCCAGAATCTCAGATATTTCGAGAGCTTGCCTGCCGACGATCGATCTTCTCCAGTGTTGTGGGCTTCCTTGTGATCGCCATCGACGATCTTCCCTAGCCCGGCACCGGTGGATGGAGCTCGTCTTCACGATCCCTAGCTAGCAAGGCTAGGGTTTGTAGGTCGCTCGTTGGGATTTCTCTAATCGGCCGCGATGGTGCTCGCGGAGCTGGGAGGGCGCATCTCCCGCGCCCTCCAGGAGATGACCAATGCCACGGTGATCGACGAGAAGGTACTGACGGCGTGTCTCAACGAGATCTCGCGCGCGCTCTTCCAGGCCGATGTCCAGCTCAAGATGGTGCAAACCATGTGTACCAACATCAAGAAGATCGTGAATTTGGAGGATCTGGCTGCCGGCCACAACAAGCGAAGGATCATCCAGCAAGTAAGCGATAGAATCGATTCATTCTTCTTCTTCTGCTGGATCATCTGGATTGAAATTCTCTCTTTCTTGTCTTGGTTTTCTAGGCGGTGTTTAACGAGCTTTGCAGTATGCTCGATCCAGGGAAGCCATCCTTCTCGCCTCAGAAAGGGAAGCCCAGTGTGATTATGTTCGTCGGGCTCCAAGGTAACAACCATCTATCGATCGAAACCTCTTTTAATCTCTTTGTGTGTGATGTGTGACTACCTAGGATCTGGTAAAACCACGACGTGTACCAAGTACGCGTATCACTATCAGAAGAAGGGGTTCAAGCCCGCTTTGATCTGTGCCGATACGTTTCGAGCTGGTGCGTTCGATCAACTGAAACAAAATGCCACCAAAGCTAATATCCCGTTCTATGGAAGGTGAGTTTTTCCCTCGCGTGCTCGTCGTTTTGCTTTCGAGTTCTTACTCGTTTGTTTGTAGCTACACCGAGACGGATCCTGTCAAGATTGCTCAAGAGGGCCTGGAAACGTTCAGGGCGGAGAAGTGTGACTTGATCATCGTGGATACGAGTGGCCGGCACAAGCAAGAGGCGGCCTTGTTCGAGGAGATGCGTCAAGTTGCTGCAGCAACGGTGAGGTTTAGATGCTCGAGAGCTCTTCCTGTCTTGACAGCGCTCGGTTTTTATTTACAGAGCCCAGACTTGGTTATCTTTGTAATGGACGGGAGTATCGGTCAAGCCGCGTTCGATCAAGCTCAAGCATTCAAGCAAAGTGCCTCCGTCGGTGCTGTTATCATCACCAAAATGGATGGCCATGCCAAAGGAGGAGGAGCGCTCAGTGCGTAAGTTCTTTGTTGCCTATTTGAAAGAACTAGCAAACATCTCTTGTTTTTCCTTGACTTTTCCTCAACAGTGTTGCTGCAACCAAGAGTCCAGTCATCTTTATAGGTACAGGGGAGCACATAGACGAATTCGAGACGTTTGAGACCAAGCCTTTTGTTAGCCGATTACTCGGTACGTTCTTGTGTTTGTGCTCCTCTTTTGCTAACCGTGAAGAAACTCCACAGGTATGGGGGACTGGGCTGGTTTCATGGACCGGATACAAGAGGTGGTGCCGATGGATCAACAGCCCGAGCTAATACAAAAGCTGACCGACGGGAATTTTACACTGAGGCTTATGTACGAGCAGTTTCAGAACATCATGAGCATGGGACCTCTCAATCAGGTAAAAGGGAAGGTCTTCGGTTGGTCTTTGTTTTGAGTTGTTTCCTATTCCCGCAGGTAATGTCCATGATTCCGGGCTTCAGCTCCGAGCTAATGCCAAAAGGCCGAGAGAAAGAGAGCCAGGCCAAGATCAAAAAGTTCATGACCATGATGGACTCGATGACGAGCGCAGGTTGGCCTTTAGTTAGAGCTCGCTCTTCCAAGCCTGACTCTACTTTCCTTACACAGAGCTGGACAGCACAAACCCGAAGCTCTTTGCGGAGGCGTCGCGGGTGATGAGAGTGGCGAGGGGATCGGGGCGGAGCGTGAGGGACGTGACGGAGATGCTGGAGGAGTACAAGAGGCTGGCCAAGCTGTGGAGCAAGATGAAAGGCCTCAAGATCCCAAAGAAGGGAGACATGAGCGCCATGGCCAGGAACATGAACGCGCAACACATGAGCAAAGTACTGCCCCCGCAGATGCTCAAACAGATGGGCGGCCTCGGCGGCCTCCAAAATCTCATGAAGCAGTTTGGAGGTGGCGGCCCCAAAGACATGGGGAAGTAAACAAAGACGCTCCCTGTAAACAAAAAAGAAAAAAAGAAAAAAATGATCGCTAGTGCTTTAATTCCTTGTCAAGCAAGCCGTGGAGCTTAGTGCCACTGGGATTCCTGCCAGTGCTCCAAAAGCATCAGATCGATCGTAGAACCTTTTTCCTTTTGCTAAAACCAGATTTGCGAGTTTAGAGTTTGCTCATTGATAACATAAGTTTCCAGATCACCCAAGACGAACAGTCAGAACTCCTTCCTGGAAAAATCACAGCGCTGTCTGTAGAAAAGAAAAGGGACAAGCTGTCTGTGTCTAAGCCATCAATCGGGAGCTTCTCCCTGTAATACGTCAATCTTCTTTGGCAAATGATGAGCAATAAATCTCTAGTCTCTGAGCAACAATCTAGCCATCTGCCACTCATCCTCTCGATCAAATAATGATTTAATTTTCTTAAAAAAAAGAAGATAGAAAGACCTTATCATTATATTTTTTATATAACTAGAAGCTTGACAAATGGATGAAGCAAATGTGAAAGATGGTAAGTTTTTCTTTTGAAAAGTTTTTACTTTTTAGTTGATATTAAATAATAGTCTAGTTTTCTTATTTCTCAAAAAAAGTTCTTTAACTTGTATAAACATTTTAAAAAAACATTTATTAAAATAATTTACTAATGAAAGTTAATAAGTGAGTTTGTATGTATTTAAATTAACATGAGTGTATGAGTGTCATATATAAACAAAGTTAAAATGTAGTAATTATCCTTTCAACTCTATTTTATAAAATTCTAAAATCTTAGATAATATAAAAAATATACAGCATAATATTATTAATAAAAAATTTATGTAAGAATGTAAATTGTATACAAGTGATTTTCTAAAGACCGTAATATATCTTTAATTCATGCTTGAAAAATTAATTCACAACAACTTTTAAAAAAAATTCAAAACTTTAATTTTATTATGAAAAAATATTTATTTAGTTTGATAGCTAAATCATTAATAAATTATACCCTGTGAATAAAATAGTTTATTTGTATTTTTTCATTTACATCCTTAGTGTTTAATTCCTCATTTCCAGTTTTGGATTTCTATAATTCAAGATTGAAATATTTTAAATAGAAGTATTATTGTAAAAAAATAATAATAATATTTTAAAAAAATATTTATAATAGTTATTTTTATTTTTGAAATAAAATATAGGATTGTGAGTGTATGGAATATGGAAATAAAATATAAAAATATGCATATCAATTAGCCCAAAAACCCTAGCTTATATACAAAAGCAAGTGTATAGCCATTGCCATAAAGAATGAAAACTAGCTCTACTGCATGACTTAAACATAAGTGGCAACAGATTAAACAATAGAAAATAAACTCTAGCCTATATTAACCAACACAAAAAGAATAATAAAAAATCTTTTGTTATACTAATGAATTTGGAAAGTAAACACTAAATGAATTAATGCTAAGTGAACCCCTTGATACTACTCCCAAAAGAAAGATGAAGGAGTCACTAACTTATTTGCACAAGATCCCTCCACTAAACGTATGACTTCTCATTTCCCAAAAGCATTTTGATGTCTAAACCTTCCACTGTAGCAGCACCAATAAAACATTGTTGATGCCAAGATTTCCACCTAGGAAATGGAAGTTGCCAATACAGAAAACACCGATAATGCCAATAAGTGTGATCAACTTTATCATACACTTAATAGCAAACATCATGGCCACGACCATATCCTTGCCATTATCCTTGAACTTGGGTAGTAGCAACATCAACCTCCATTAAAATAAATCCATCTCTCATAAGAAGTGGAGTTGAAGGACATGTAGCAAGAAGTGGAAAGGTGATGTTTTATAATGTTATGCTAAATGAAAAACACCATTAAAGGTGTTAAAAAAGTGTATGCACAAGTCCTATAAGATTTTGACAAAGTGTTGGCCATAATATTCCCAATTTGATCTACATTGACATATTTGGCTCCATACAAAACAAAAGGCTTTGGAAATGAATACTAAATTACATCTTTTACTCAAATGGACCTTGACGAAAACAATGCAATTGTTGAAAGGTATCACAATTGTCAATATGTCCAAATGCACATTTGAAGACATTTGGGAAAATGCACTAATCCTCATGAGTGGCTGTGCAATGTTATCCTCTAGAAACACATGGGAAATTCACGCAAACACCGAGCATCATCCTAAGAATGATATGTGGCAATCACCATAAAATGATTAAATAAATAATACACATCATCTTCAGAATTCCCACAGAAGAACTCTGGCCGGATGCAAGGATTGGCAATAAGAGAAGGAGGAGTTATACCATGCATTGTGAATACACCATCAACTGAGTTTGATTATTTAATTGCAATCGTATAATATAGAGCAATTGCACTAATTGCTACTCTAAAGTCAAAGGAGGAGGAGGCTACTGCTCTACCATGAAAATGAATGAAAAAGAAAAGAAATTGAAAAACCTATAAAAAAAAAAAGGAGATTTAGACAATGCAAAAGTTAGATCTAAAGTAGAATCTTAAATCCAAGCACTCTTTAGGGACAATTAAAATTGCCCCTCATCTCCACCAATGTGAGTGTATGGAATATGGAGATGGAATATAGACACGGAATATGGAAATGGAATATAGAAATATAGAAATATATATATATATATATATATATATATATATATAAATTAATTAGCCCAAAAACTTTAGTTTATATATGAGAGTGAGTGGTCTACATTGAAACCAATATAATGGCTATCAAAATCCCACTAAGTTAATATTTGTATATGGCATTGTAGCCATATGCACTTAAGCCTCACAGAATTAAATTATTATAGATTAAAATTATTATGATTAAATTAA